TCAACGAAACAAGATTCACGTACCACACGCTTCTAAACAAAGTATGGACAATTCAGAGCTAACTTAAAAACTTAAGAGAGAGCGTGGCTTTGTCATACAATGTATATGATACTTACAAAAAAATTTCAGACAGTACGCACCCTAAATGGTCGATTGGGAAAATAGTAAACATGATAATGACGTCACGCTTTCTGTGTTTTATGAGTCGAATTCAGGTGAGCGTAGAAAGCATTTTTGATAGTGTCACTTGCAAAAAACTTTGCGCTAGTAATATCGTTGCTGTTGCTACACTTTTTAGTTGAATGAAGTGCGACGGATGTTTGGCAACCACGTTTTGACGTTATAATCGTGTTGTTGTCCTGGGTAACTGGCTCCGTTTTCAGTGGCCAAAACCACGTTACCATACTTTTACCGCGCCTTACTCAACTGGCAATCGAATTGAAAACGTAAGTTGGCTAACGTAAAGAGTTTGAAGGTTGACGTTTTGAGCGTCAGCCCCTTCGTCAATGTGACGAAGGGCTAACGCTCGAAACGTCAAGCCTTTAAACTCTTTATGGTGGCCAAAGTTTTCAAATTGGTTATTAACTCTAAATTACCTGTTATACTCTCTTACCGACGCAGCACCACAGTTTCTTTAGAAACTTACCCCTTTATTCGTTTGACAATCGAATTATTGCTTTAATCATCACGAATGTGTCTCACCTCCGCATTGATTACAACTTTTTCTGCAGTTTTGCAGCATCCATGCTCGATTGACTTCACATTCTCCCGTAAACGCCCAGTGAGGACAGCTTGGAGAAACATCAGTGCAGTCTGTAATGAGATGATGACTTATAATTTAGGGACTATTTTACAATGCCTAGTGCTAAATCACTTTTTAAGGTAGCCCGTTAATCGGTTTCAAACGTTTATCGCCAAGATTTTCGTACACCCAGTTGTATTGATGCTGTAAGTTAAGAGAGGATATATTTGCCCTCATTATCGCTAAAGATGATAAAGGTAATGATAACATCAATAACAATTAACATGATAGTTGTTATTATGATGATGATGATACTGATGATGATGATACTGATGATGATGATGATAGTAATAATAATGATAATAAAAATATTAATAATGATGATGATGATAATAATGATAAAGATAACGAAATTAAAAAAAGTATTATCCCCTTAAGAAGTAATAATCGGACTCGATCTTGATACCTTTTGGCGCCTGATGATGTTTACAACTAACACAACAATTCGATATCATCCACAGCGGGTTTTTTTCACACTCGCCTCTTCCCGCCCAAACTTCACAATGAGAATTTAGATCGGTATGACACTCTGAAAAGACGAACATTTGCGAATAACACCAAATAACACGAGTGCCAATAAAGAAATAAATCAATAGCCAGATGATAAATAAATGAATGAATAGTAGAAAAATGAACAGATAACGAATAGATAAACAAATTAATAAGTGAACAAATAGAATAAACCAGTGGCAGAAGCACAAAACATTATAGAATGTAATCTTAGGGTTCTACGTGACAACGCAAAGGGGTTTGTTAACGATTCTAATACCAAAGCCATCGATAACGCAAACTTTAAATAAGTTTTATAAAACATGAGGACTGCTTATATCAGTTACTTTGTATGTTTTAAATGGAAGGTCTGTTACAATCATCATTAGTTAGGTGTTAGCTCCTAGCCAAATGATATCTTGTCAGCATACCTTGTGCCCCGGGTGTGACTGTTGGAGCATTCACTGTGAATTAACAGAAAAGATGATTACACTCAGAAATTAAGATGGAGCTTTGTCCTCTGTTTCACGTACAGTACCAAAATTACAATTTTTTTCTTATAGAGAATGGTTTCCTTTTATCTTGGCTATAAACAATTTCCCTCGTGTATTGTATGCTTAAGCACCGAAGCCCGTCAATTCGTTATATTTTGTGGTTTTTTATGACTGATGGTTAGGAATTTATTTGCCTTAGTGTTTGAAAAATTAAAATTTAATGTTCAACTGCTTGACAAACCATCGATTTCAGGTTATGAGCGTGCAAAAGACACTTACTCGATGTCGCTGTGGTTGGTGGCGGGGCTGTTGTCGCTTGGGCGGGTGTTGTGGTGATTTTGCTGCCGTCATCTGAAATTATAATGGCCGACTTTTCAGACGCAGTTTAGTAATTTCTAGTGAGAAGAGGTCATACGATGGCTCTAAGTGGTGAAAGAGCTTCGGCATTAGTTTTTTTCGGGTAGTTGTGTTTGTATTGTCAAGGTACTCTCTGCTTTAGTTTCCTTTGTACTGTTGTTGCTCGTAATCTTAAATGAAGTGATGATTTTGAACTTTAGAACTACATTTTGCCTCGAAGCTTAGCTGATCTGTATTCGGTAACTCAGTCTATTTATTTCTCTGATCAAAACGAAGTAAAACAAAAGAAAACACATTTACGTGTGAGCTGTAACTTGCAAATGAGACGTTTCAAATTAGCTGCTCTCTCCTGAAAGATATCTGTTTCCCCTCATAGATATTAATTGGCCCTTAAAAGAAATATGTTAAATGGTGACGTAGCATTTGTGAGGGAACGAGTAAAAGATTTTACAGATTTGTATTTTAGTAGTGGGATAAGTATAACTCTCAGTGGCTTCTAGCTCGGGAAATTACAAACATTGTGTTCAGTGGATGGACCTTTAGCCAACTCGATTGGTATTAATAATGAATCAAGCATGTATTAAAACCTTACCACAGTATCCACATGTAGCGGCGCAATCAACCATCATATAGTGTACTTTACAGTTGTGCCCATTCTTCACTCGCCATTCACAAGTGTCTTTCCCGACGGCGTCGTAACAGCGGACTGAAGTAATCAGTTGAAAGAGAATATATCAAGTGCCAGGTTACATGTACTCCTGAAGCTGCTATGTTAAACCTTCGTTCACGTGTGGATATGAACTCGTTTCCCGTTGATGGTAGTATTTGTAGCTTCGAGGAAGATCGTAAGCATTGAACTATAGAGCTCCATTGCTCATTCTAGTCATGTGTGGTTAAATACTTTGCTAACAGAGACTTAGTTACTGATGTAGTTTTTTCTTGTATTGTTTTAGCTTTTATGTTCTGATTTTCAATAGTTCTTGGTCAACTAGCTCATTCAGATTTATTCTATTATTTTTAACATTTTACCGCTTTCGATCGATGTATTCTTTCTACAGATTTATTACCGCATTGAGTTAAACTCAGTAACAAGAGAATTTATCTTGTTCCTCTATTCAAGATGCAGTGTCACTAGCGTAAGCGCATGCCCAGTAACGTGATATCAAACCACAGGTGCCTTGGTGTTCGCTACGAAGCAAACAAACAGGAAAAAGTAGAATGCATCAACGAAGGACTCAATACAGAGTCTGCGTATGTCAGCTCATTTTCATTTTCAAGCCATTGTGTTAACCGGCTTATAAACTCTGATTGTTTGAAATGATACCTACTTTCACAGTTTTCACCGTAGAAACCAGGAGGACAAACCTTCCCTAAGCAGAAAAAAAAAATGCGCCAGGTTAGTGGTCTTGTCCCAGTGATAAGTTGTAATCTAAAACTGTCATAACCTAGGCTCTTTGTGCTCCGTCAAGAGGTGACGATCGTGTAGTTCCTTCATGTTATTTACCTGAACAGTCCATGCCCTTCCAGCCGGAAGGACATGAGCAAACACAGTTTTGAAGGTTCACTGTTCCGCCATGTTGACATTTCAGTGGGCACTCTATAAGTATAACAGAAATGTTTTAGGAGAAAATTTTTCCGGTTTAGTATCTGTTAATCCACCTAACTAAAAGCATTATTAAAATTTAGTCAAAACAGGTGAAAGCAAAGCTGGCACTCAAAGAATTGAGTGATCCCCTCCATCCTTTTTCCGCTGCCTCCATATGCTAAGGATTTTGTTTCTATCCATATGTGATTTATTACTTGCGAGACACAAGCGCTCTTACACTTTCAATCCTGAAGATCGCTCACGTAGCAGACGTTTAAAAAGTTAGCAAGATGAAGAATGCAGATCAAATTGCGGACAACGAAGGAAAAATATTCCGGCTACCTTAGTTTTCCTCGCCTAACTCTTCGCTTCTGGCTTCCCACTTCCCAACACCCTCTTAAGCCAACTTACCGCACAAGCTGCACATCTTTGGGCATTTCTTAGCCATTAATTCACGACTGGAAGTACACATTGCTTGTGTGAGGCTTTTACCACATTCGCTGTCAAAGTTATCACAGTCCCCTTCAAAACAAACAAATGCTTCAAAAGACTTTAACACTGAATCATCAAACTTCAGTAGTTTTTGTTCAATTTGTTTCTTCATGGTTGCTGAGGCAAAATAAGTCATGAGTGGTTATAGCAAACGAAGACTCATATCACTTGACAATAAACCCAGTTTATGATGAAATCTCAACCTAGGATTGGCAAGGAAGAGGCTAGAGTGAGAATCGAATTCGACTTACACACGATTCCTGAGTTGCATTGAAATCTGATCGCACAACAGTTAGATAAATATATTTACAAAGACTACCACGGGAAATGGGTAGGACTACAGTGGACTCACTGATATCAAACCACGTTCTCATAACCTTATCATGATATCTAGATATTTTTTACTATTTGGATAGTGCTCATCAACAAATAATGCCTCTCGTTCAACAGTAGAGATCCTCGAAGTCTTTACTTACGACACAGGTTCTTGTAGCAGAAGCCTTTACCAGATGAGCATTTGCTGCATGGAGCACCAGTCTTGTACGGATATTGTCCGATTATGTTACCCCTAAAGCCACAGAAACCAACACAGGCTGCGTTAGCTGTGTTGTTATACCGGCGATGTTTCATGAATAATGTAATTCGCCTTTTTAATATCTTTGGATTTAGATCTTGGAAAAATCGTGAGATCGTTGGATAACTGGTAAATTATGGTGTGCATATTGAAAACATACATGGTCTATTTTAAAAGTCGAAACTGTCTTTGATCAGTTGAAAGATTTCTCTGGGGTTTCTTCAGTCAGGTCCTTGCAGTCAGGTCCCGACAGTTTCTTATTAATGATATCTTAAGTATTAACTAAACTTTTCGCTTTCGACTGCTCACTATTAACTTCAGGGTAATTTGATGGATGATGTTTTTAAAAGTTCTAAGAATGACAATTTTAATTGCTTTAATTCGTCTTAAAAACAAATAGTTTCTCTAGATAACTCTGCTGTCAAATTTGTTTTAGATTGACTGTATCACTGAGTGTTTCCTGATTTCATACAAAGGTAAAAAAACACTTTTCCAGTTAATATGATAGTTAATCAAAACTATTACAAAACTCTCGAACGTGATTGGTTATCTCTTTCCCGATTTGAACACTAATACTAGTTACTAATTATAATTGGTCAGTGTCATTGTGCAGACTACGCGCCATGTGCGCGCGCTGTTGTTTCGCATTTCGCTGAGCTAACTTTTGTTTGCTGTGAAAAAGTACAACCAATGGCTAGTTTGTGGACTTCGTGTCGTCCACTTCTGTCAGTAATCCTATTCATAAATCACAAATTGGATTCCTGCCTCGAGGTAGTCCGATTTTGCAAATCACTCGCATGATTACAGTCCGAATTGGACACACTCAGTCCTTTCACCATTTCTTATTATGTGGTAAGATAAGAATTTGCGTGACGTACGTTGGACCATAGTCGCAAGTAACAATTGTCTCTCCAGGAATCCAGGGATGTGGTGGGCCAAATTCTTTATCACACCAATTTACTCCACATCCTACATATCTTGATGTTGCCCACGCAAGCTTATGAAATACGAAAAAAAAATAATTTTGACTCGTTAAAAGCATTAGGCATAACAGATAGCTAGGAATGACCCTTCAAATATCATAATTGAGCTGTCGCATCAAAATCAGCCTTTTGCTTATACAGTTAACTTAGTGGGAATCAATCAGGTTGATCAAAGAGTTTTCTCTGTGGAGTCGAATGTAGGAGTTGAGAGGAGAAAAAGAGAAGGATTAAATGCAGAAATTATGCATGATGCCGTGCACCGACTCTGTTTCTTCCATAAATTTGATGATGTTTCTTTAAAGAGTCTAAATATAATTTTTCGATCGAACAGCTTTGATATGCAAAAAGTTTTCAATCACTTTTCAATTGAGTATCGGTGGTAATCCAGGATTGTTTGTTTGTTTGTTTTTTTGCTTTACTTCATCTCTAGATTGGTCCAGAAACACGCGCGCTTTTTTCAACTAATCGGATTTAGGCAGTTTGCGCCTTTTCACTGTGAGTTCTCTTTGACTGCTCTTGACCTTTCCCTATCGAGTGATTGGTCATTGTCATTACACTGGTTTTGGTTTTACGGCACTTTATCAAAAAGTTCTCTGACATGGAACAGCCATATATGTTTTCATGGGTGGAAAAGTTGCTGGAAACAAATGATGATGTGATGAATACCTGTGTGTAATGCCCGCAAGGCTGTCTGGAACACTGAGCAGCTGTCATTGGACTCGCAAACTTGCTAAACTTGTAAAACTTGTACTCCTTGTACCACTGCGTCACGCGATCCTCTGGGTTTTGTAATTTGCCCCATTCTCTTGCAAGATTTTGACCTGATTTTAAACCGCGGGTTTCCTTTTACTACGAGACTAATTATAGTTGCATTGGAAATAATTTAAAGCTTAACAGTTTCTTTGATAATCTACTTGAGTTTTATTCACAGGCTTGTTTCCGAAATTCCACTTAATGAACCTGATAATAAACATTGTAAAGCCAATGACATCATTTTTTTTCGTGATAATTAATCCGGAAGTGGAACGGACTCTCCAGTGACACTTAAAATGTCTATTTTACAATTGTGTGCTTAGTTGCTAAGCCCTTAAATAGGAGTGAGGCTTAAGATTTCCTTGTAATGTTACAATCTTTTCTGCTTTTCAAGTTTATTTACACTGTGTTATCTTGCCGACGATTTTCTCGGCTCTATCATGTTAAGATAACTCTTAGCAAGGCCATGATTGTAGAATGGACTCTGGAGGAAGTTATTTAAACGTACCTACATGTCCTTTGAAGGAAACGGGATGAGGATACTCATCACCAAATTCGAGAAATCCATGATCCCACACACATTGATTGGACCACATCTGGGCCAAATTAGCTAAATCCTCGTCCCAAAACTACAAGCAAAAAAATGTAGAGCATCCTCCACTAGCATACATTTTACTCACTTTTTCTTTGTAAGGAAAGAATATTTTCGAATGGTAACGAAATGAGGAAATTGTATCGCATTTGGTGGGAAAAAGATGCACTTGACCCATTCACATACGTACATCAAGCTATTGCACAATAGCCCACTCTTTAACGCCACGTACACCTTAAGGAAGTTACCCATAATCACATATACAAGGGCTCGGATTACGTTTATGAAAGTTTAGGAGGTCTCCACCCGGAACAAAGACAAACATACGTCTAGCGATTTTAAAGGTGACCTTGTGAACAGGTGTTACATTTCAAGACTACTCGTTGACGAACTTGTTGACGTCTTGAGCATCAATTACCTAAATAAGAAAAAGAAAGAATACTTACCAAGTACTCCATATCTGCTGCTGGTGGATCAACCATTCCACGAAACTTGTTGTGTTCGTCCAAAAATTTTTCTTTTTGCGCCGCGGTCAGCTCGCTAATAGCGAAATCTTGATGCGATGGTCTTATTCTACCAGTTGCTGAAACCAAGGCTCTTCCATTGAGCACCAAAAGTCCAAAGATCACATAAAGTGGCACTAAGTGACGCTTGAAGATATCATGTGCGTTACTCTTTTTGAGGTCAAACATCGATCCAGTGGTTGTTTGTTCTCTTAAAATCGTTGTTGTTGTTGTTTGTTCTAGGTTTAATTCATATAAAGTTTCGTTTTCCAATCCAGTTTACCTGATTGTTTTTCTTTTTTGTATATCCTTTAAACGTGCCAAAGAATATTTTAAAATTTAACAGACGCACGGTTTTCAGAGTGCCCTCCTTTCTCAAAGATTTATACACAACATTATTTACAACCACTACGTGTTGCCTTCCCCCTTGTTCAGCTGAGTTTCTCGCTGTCCTACGTCCTTAGTTCTTAGTGTAAACTGTGCTTATACTTACGGAATTGTTCGTTTTGTATATCTCATGTTTATGCTCTCGACGTTTTTTCAATCGTTTATTGAAACGGCCACTGGTACGTATTATGTTCCTTTGTTTGGTACCTGTTAAAAGGTCTTTCTGATTGAGGAAGCTGCCATACCTCTTACTTTTCAAATTACCTGTATGGGCTTCTCTCATGACGGGGATGATGATTGTTCTTTTGTGATCATGCAAATAAGCCTTCTTAGCCTAATTTTTTTTGTGTGAAAATTGTTTGAATTATTGCTTTTGGATATGTTGACGAAACTTGGGAAGCTGAGTTACATGGATGAAAAGGTTTTTATTGGGAACAGATCCGTATGGCGAAAAAATTGTACCCGAGGACTTGGATACCACCCGAGGCCACAGGTCGAGGGCGGTACTCAAGACAGCTTGTGCGTGTAATTGTCTCACTGGATGGCACGATAACCATAAGGTAACTTTGAATTCTTCTTTTCAGCCAATGACATTAAGTAGCTACGAGGCAATCTGCTCTATCGGATTTTACAAACGATTGAAACCACGAGAACGCTCACAGTTCCGCTGACCTGATGCTCTTCACATGAAATTTTTGTAGCCAACACTTAACACTTCTTGGGTCGCTTAGCCTAAATGGAGGTTTCGAGAACCAGTTGTCTTTATTTAGCACAGAGAAAGGGCACCGTACGGACAGCTGGCACAGGTGAGTATTTTTTGTTCTTTGTTTTTATTTGGTAAATAAAGGTAGTTCTTACACAAACGGTTTGTGTAAGAACTACCTTATAACGTATAAATATTGGGGTCGTTTTTAGTATGACTTGAATGGATGTGTGGTAACTTTTTGCATGGGCCGATCTCTGTTCGTATGAAATTTAAATTTTTAAAAAAGATATTTTTACTCCGCTTTAAATTTCATATGTCTTACTTACCAGTTTACCTCTTTACCTTACCAGTTTACCTCTTTAAGTAGGTGAATGGTACGAAGACAACGGAATTACTCTGACGCGCGTGATGAGCAGTCGCTTACTCGGACATTTTAAATTTGTAAGCTCCCTAGCAAGTAGCGCATTCAATTGTCGCATTTAGGAGGGACAGTGATAAGTGATTAGTTTGAGGATTTTGGTGCGAAAATTGTGGTTTATTAAACTAACGTTATGGTAGTGACTTCTAGCCTGCTATTTTTAGAAGAGTTTTTTTTATCCGCTCACAGGCACCAACTTTTTGAAATGTCTTTTCCTCTTATGTTTCTTAGTGAGAGCTTCCCCATTGAGGTTCTCATCTTCCCCTGGTTAAATGGACCTTTCCACTGCATAAGCTTCGCTTGCATAGTCACCAAACCGAACAGTTTTACAAAGTGAGTAGCAAGAATCAAATCAAGTAAGTTTCATACTTATGCCTTCGGCTTGCTGGTTAACGCAGGTTTGGATATTGCGGAATATCTCTGACGAATGTCTCGACCGCTACACTATAACACTTCTTCTAAAGCCACACCTCTAAGTTTTGATTACTATTTAAACTCAAAATTCAAAAGCAAAAAGGAAAATACAGAGCCCCTCTTTATAATTAGCTGAACTTTACGTTAGAACTTTGTGGTTATTACGATTATTGTTAGACCGCGGGTTTAGTTTTCCACTTGGAGCCCAGTCATCACTTCCCTAGCGACGCAAAAAGGTTTCAACGCGTATATATAGTCGGGTGCAAGTCGCGTTTGACAGGTAACAACGAAGTCTAGCTCTGTTCTTCTTTACAGCGTCATTATCATAAATGGCTTCGACTTTTTACTTGGAAAGACCACTGTACAAGCGGCTTGAT